TGTGAATCCAAGCTAATACAGCTGTCATTATTCACAAAGAGCAGGTAAACCTTTTCAGAGTCTACCTTTCAGGGTCTAGCAGGTGGCTAACGCTTTGATAAATAAAATATGGTATTTTTTTCCTTTTAAAATCATTAAAATGAAGTGTGATGTTTTACAATAATCAAATCAAGTTAGGGTTTAATTATTAGCTTTAATTACAGATTACAGGAGACAGGAGATTACAGGAACTAGCATTAGGCCAATTTTATTTTTTTGTCCACTTGTGAGCATCGCAACAAGCTATAAACTCCTTGATCTCCACCAACTCCTTGCAGGAAATACATGATATGTATGTGGTGTGTGCTGTATACTATATATTATATATATATATTTATTATCTTATATATATATATATATCACTCACGTATATGTGCATTTTGAAACATTTTGAATCATTACAGTAAAGTTGTGGTCTAAAAACACCTAAGTAAAAAGCTAAAAAGTGTTCAAATTCTCCTTAGAGCTGAGAGAAACAGCAGAGATGGATAATAATTATTTGTGGGTTACTCATAATGAACGGCACCTTTTATGTGGTATTATTATTATTGTTATAACTTTACAGTGTCAGCATTTTAGATCTCCATGAATCATCTCCCAAACCACATGGAAATTCTGTTAACATGAGATGTCTGTGTAATTATAATTTATCATTTATCATAACTTCAAGTCTCAATAGCAGCTTAAATGGGATAAAAAAAATGACATGATTTTTATCATTGTTTTATTATGGGATTGTTTCACCACACATTCTTTCAGTCAAAAATGACGCATGCAGAGAGGAGAAATTGTACACACACTTAACAGCATTAATTCCCTCATTACCATTATTTACCCAATGGCGCTATTACATCTCCATCAGCTGAGGGTCACCCCACTGGATGGTAATTCAGAAGTGAAACAAAACCTGTCAGTGTAAGTGAACTTCGCCAACAACAATTCATGTAGATTATATTTACGAAAATTAATTAAATAAGAAAAAGTAAGTAAAATATTGAGAACACTGCCAGAGAACACTGCCAGACCTCACATCCGACGAGTTATTTCCTTTCACCTCAGTGAATGTGCGTTGTCAATATGCCCTCTAATTTTCTCTTAAACTCCCTTGCTTCCGTTTTCCATTTACAAAGCCTGCTTAACATCCTGTCCACAACACTACACTTGCTGCTGCTGTGGTAGTGGCAGTTGTAGATGCCGATTCACAACACTTCCTTGTCCTCTAGATTTACATAAAATGGAAATTCATTTTTGGCACTGGCATACTTTACACAATACATCAGGACAACCCACACAAAAGACACAGCACAAATGATACATACATATGTGATAAAATAAAATAAAAAAACACCAAACAAAACAAATATGTTCTTTGAAAAGGAAAAAGATGAGGCCTAGAGAAGCCATAGCATGCATGTGTGTTTGGGGGAGTTCTAAAAAGACACTAGTCCACAAATAGTCCACAGTAAGGCATGACATAAAGGGTTTCTTGAACTTCTTAAAGTGTGTGGATTGAAGGCAGCTTCTGGTGTGCTAATTTTGATGGGTGGTTCAACCAAAAACTGGATTGCTTTTTTTTATTTCAGATTTGTGCTAGAGTTGGAAAAAAAAAAAAAAACATGCTTACTCATTGATCTATGGTCAAATTGGGAAATTTGAATTTCAGATTTGTAAACTTTATTACCATTGACTCAAAAGGTTTATTCACAGTTACTTTTGCCAGTGCCAGCTCCGTTTTTTACCCTTCTATGTTGATTGGCTTGTACTGTAGGTAGAACCTACACTTTTTACCCTCATTTGTCTTCTTTCTTTCTTATCTTTGGGGTTTACGAAGGCTAACAATGTCTTGAGAGTAGGAGGTTTAGTCTGCGCCCCACAGGCAACCAAGATAATATCATCAGCATACATAATGAGGCAGAGATCACTGCTTTTACAATGCACATCGTTCTTGTGTATGGAGAAAAGCAGGGTAGATAGAACATATCCCTGAGGAAAATGTTATCTAACTCTTGTCAAACATTTTTGTAGCTTTTTCCTATTGCAACACTGGAAGGTGGGGTTAAAAGCCATCAACCATAGAGGGGTGACTCAATAATCGTTTAAATGGGGATAATGGAGCACACTTTTGGAAGATCTTTCTTTGAAAGCATTCATGTTGTTGCAATCAGTTTTAAACACAAAATGGATGTTAGTACTTATGTGTAGAATTAAAAAAGAGAACTTGAAGTGGGCATGCTTTTCAGATTGTTAGTTTGGGAAAGTAACAAAAATTGTCTGATGCAGCTCTCCGGTCCAGAGGACAGAAAGGTGTCAAGGTAGGGGGTTTCAGGCGCTCGTTCATTTTAAAGCATACCAAAGTCCTTAGGAATGCAAACTTGATGGATATGTAATCCAAAGGACCAGATGGGGGCTGCCTCTCAGTACAGACAAGTGATTAGCATTTCTGGATATCCACAAATAGACAGCCAACGATTGGCAGTATCTGGCAGTGCTATGTCTAACTTCATTGCTGACACTTAATATTTTTCAAATATTTGAGCTATTTGAAATTGGATTGTTCCCCACATGTGACTTTGTCCCTGAAGTGGAAATGTTCAAGTCACACGTTTTTGATTGTTTCAGTGCAGCTAGCCTTGAGGCGAACTACAGTAGCGTCAAGTAATTCAACCTCAAGCAACATGTCAGCAAAATGCACTCAACAATAATAATGCTTTACAACAGTGTCAATTTCAATTTCAAGCTCACTCTTTACTGTGCTGACACAGTGTTCATAGTACTTTCATTATTTGGCCATGTAGTGCTTGAGAAGGTATACATATTTCATAGATTGATTGATATATAGATATTGTTTACGGTGAACAGATATTAGCATTGGGTACAGTGCTCACTGATGATCTACACGCATGGTTATGACAGCTACTGAAGGTGCCCTTAGAGCAAATTTATAGATATGGAACCGAGCACAATTCCCTTATGTTTTATAAGAGAGCCAGCATGCCATGAATGCCATGGCATAAGAATATGATGTATGTATGCCGTATAATTCATTCTGAGTTTCACTCTTATCCATTAAAGAATGCTATTTTCTATCCATAAATGCATACGAATGTGAGCATAAATGTATGCATCCATCTTCCTTTATCTTGCCCATATTCTGTAATGGTCAAGAATGTTATCTAGATATGCTTATCCTTCACTTTGTCTTCATCCTCCCTCCTTCTACCTCAGTTCAGTGGACTTTTGGATTTACATATTCAAGTGCTTCGCTTATTTTTTTATTCTTGAATCCTTTTGTAAAGCACTTTTTGATTTGCAAAAATTGTGAGCCAACCTGAGACACAGGGCTGTGATTAGACACCTTATCTTCAGAGGCGTTTTCTTATTACAACAAAAAGCACCTTGTTACACCACGTACATAATGCCCCTTAAATTCACTTCCATCTTTCTTTTGTCACCCAACAGCTATGATTTTTATAAACTCTGTTTTTGCAGAGCAAAATAATATTTGTTTGCAAAAATAGTGTTTGTTTACAATGAAATCTCCACAGGGTACCTTTAATGTCTCGGAAGAGGCAAGGAGATTGTTTTTACATTTTGAGTGGCGCCTTCAATCTGGCTGTTATTATGTAGCCCAGTGCTGATGTGTTATTATAGAGGCACTATTTCAAAAGCCATACATTTAATGTAACTGTATAATCCTCTGACATCTTTTTTAAAATGTTTTTCCCACTTTCTAAGCTTACTTTTAACAGTCCTGAAGTATGAATCCATAAAAGCCACATATTTAGCTTGGCTGTGTGCTCCATCAAATACAACTGGTAGCATTCACAAGAGGCAGTAAGAGGTTTTGTCATTGTCCTTGCTCTTACAACTCCTAGTGATTGGTTCCATTGCTTTTTCAGTTGAGCAAAGGGACAGGCAACAAACTCCTTGCTGTTAGGTGAAAAGATGCTTCGGCTCAGATTTATAGGAGGAATCACATGGCAGCGTTCAACCTTCCAACACCAACAGTAGAGGTTGGCATAGGGACAAAAACACAGGGAACTTTTTGTGACAAAAATGCACAAGAAAAGGGGCACAGTTTATCCAACTAAAGAAGCCTAAAACAATTTGTTGAATTGAAAGATTGCTGCAACATCACTTTCCTCAAAGTGAAAAAAACACTTGACATTTTCCAATTGTCACTATATTTATCATCGGTATCATTATGGCTTGGTCTATAAGTGAAGCCTACAGTACGAGTGAGTGTAATAAGCTCTAGCCTGGGGCTTTTCTGGGAAATGTAGAAACTCACTAACTGAAGTCTAGAAGTGAAAAACAGCAGAGCAGGTTGAGAACATTCATACTCAAAAAAGTACAAATTACAACATGGTACCACAAAGTCTTGTGGAATTGTTAAATATCACAGAATTTTTAAACTTGTGGTAGAAGCTTATTTTATAGGCCTTACAAAAATACTTCATCCTGTTTGAAATGTTGCAGAATGCAAGAAGGGCTGTAAACTAGCTAAATGTCATTTGTGATGTTTGATTTTATTTACCTGACTGATCACAGCTCTCTCCATCTCTCTCCATCTGTCTGATTCTTTCCATCTTTCCCTCATCTCTCACTGTCATCCCCTGCTTTCATATCTCTCAATTGTGTCTTTACTTCATTGCTCTTCATCTACCTGCATATATCCCATCTCTCTTCCAATCCACCCTGCTACATCTCTCCATCTTTTTCACTCCATTTATTTTATAAAATAATTTATTTCAATTTTTTTTCATATTCCCCGTTTTCCACCATGTTAAATCTTTGCCCATATCTGTCTCACTCCATCTGTCATCCCTCAACCCACTCTCTCTATTTTAATCGTTACATCTCTGCATCCACGTCTCTCTATCGTTTCTCCTAATCTGTTTATTCCTCCTATTTCCCTTCTCACCTCTCTAATCGTTCTTTCTCTCCCTCTCTTCCTGCAGCCGGAATTGTTCGGAAAAAGCAGTGGTGTGAGATGGTGCCATGTTTGGAGGACGAAGGCTGTGACCTGTTAGTCAATAAATCTGGCTGGACTTGTACACAGCCCGGAGGCCGAGTCAAAACCACCACGGTAAGTTCAGGCTCTCTTTAAGCCCCCCCCCAAAGCCCCCCGGTTACACAATCCACTCACAAACCAGTAGGTGTGTGCAAAATGTGTGTACTTAACTGCACCAGTGGCACTGAGAACAACATGACTGCGAGAGCTGATAAATGAAGCATTTGCATGGAAAATTGATTGTGGGGTAAATCAAAACTAAGAACACATTTTATGTAATTTCTGTAAATGAAACAATGATGATTAAACTGCTGTGCTCGCCAAACATTACAGTTTAGGGGTCAATTTAACAAGCCGAATCATTGCAGAGGGTAACAGAAACACTTTTGAGTATTAGCTCTCGTAAAAAGCTCTGATCTAAAGCATATATTCAGTATAAAAGCCGATTTGAAAGGTTTCTGGCTACTGATTTTGTGGCTCAACTTATTCGGTTCAAAGCTTTTCATTCTCAAACTTCCTGCTAGGACAGCTGTTACTTAGAGACTGTAAAATGTTATTTTACAGTTCTAATATAAACATGCAAACATATATCATGTACATACTGTTAGTCAAATATTGTTTAAACCACCTAAAGTGAGATTTAATGTATTTACTTTGTGAAAGATTAAAAAAAAAAAAAAGTCTGCCTCTGACTAAATAGTTACAATTCTAAGCACCACAAAGCATGAAACTACAACACTTTACCTGCTAACTACTTTAACTGTCATCACCAGTTAGACACTAACTTTGTCTGTCTGCCGTTTGATGCTTTTTTCACTGAAAACATCAACCAATTTTGGGCATTAAAACTAAAAAAAAATGAGCTGAAATACGTTAAAATTCTCCATTTAACTAAGGGGGAACTACCGAGTCTGAAGATGCTTTGTGACTAAGAACCCTTTCACATAACCCATTATTAATACAAAAAATATTGGCTGTAGTGCAGCTTTAAACAACCTACTTGGGAGAATCTCAGGCAATACAAGGAAATGGAATGTACTATCCTTGCTACCTGTTGCTGTTTAGCAAAGATGATGTAGTCTTACTTCAATAAACTACACTATTTTGAAATATGTGAAATTTATTGCACCTTTTTCCACCTACTGTCTCCCAACTGTTGCCATATTACTGTACTTCAGGCCAGCTTGCACACTGTCAGCAACAAGTACAGCAGAAACCCATTTAGGCATTCACTTCACAATCCCCTGAAAATGTTCCTCTCCCGCCCCCCTCGTCTTCGGCTCATCTCCACAAACTGTACGCGGTTTGTTTACTTCCTCGTTGCCAGCAATTAGCCTGAATTAGGGACGCTCTTAATGTTAATGATGGCAGCAGATGGGGAGCCACCGCTTGTATTCACTAAGATGCCGCCCATTCATTCACCCACCCATCCTTCATACCCTATCTCCAGCTCTCCAAGCCTCCTCATCTCCACTTCATCCCCAACAAACACACGCAGACACCTTCCTACCGCCTTACACCCTCCCACAGCTTTCGCCCCAACACCCGCTTTACAAGATATGTAAACACTGTACGTATGTAAATGCTTGTATTCGCAGCCTGTACTGTAGCAATTATAGAAGTCTCCGTTGAGAAACATGTTACACAACACAGCTGCCTTATCTGTGAATGTCAATGGGTGAACACTGAGGACCGGTGGGGCATCATTAATGCATCTGTCATGATTTAGTCATCAGCTGACTAACTTGTTTATGCATTCCTGCTGAAAGACAAGACACACACACACATAGCAGATACACACACTGAACGCTGAACCCAGATGATATGGTTTGTTATCAGTCAGCTGCTGCCCCTGTCTCACAGCGGCCTGACACCAAACTGAATATACCTGTTTGTTCAGACTGAGGTGACAGCCATTACATGTTCCACCTACATTGTAATTTGTTATCTGGGCTGGCAGACAGCCCACACACACACAATCATAGGCAACATATAGCTGGATCCATTTATTATATTTGACACATATAGGAGTTAGTGTGTGTGTGTTTGAGGGGGTTGAGCATGCAAACGTGTTGGTCACAGTGTGTGTGAAGGCTAATAGATCCGATGCATGTGCTTTCTTATGTGTATGTTTACACGCTGATGTCTGTTGCTGTGTGTTTTCAGCTGTTTGCATATTCATAGCTATGCGTATGTGTCCCTGCTTTCCCGGGAACAGTGGCCCTGTACACTTTGGCCTACTTGTACATTTCATATCCTGCTTAGGATGTCAGTCAATGTACCTCTCATCGGCTTATGCTGACACTATGTGGGACGTGACAGGTATTCCTCGCTTGCTTCATTGGCTACTTTAAGCTTGGTGACAGCTAGTCAAATGGCCAGACAGCTATGTGCACTCATCTGTGCCAGTCTGTGTTTAAGCAGCCTTTCACTGTCAAGGACTCTAATACAGGCAACAATGCTTGCGACTTGGGTCATTGTTTAAAATTCTTCTAAAAATATGAATTTATGTGATGGATGAACTGGCCCGACGTGACCGCTACCTCTAATCTCAGGCAAGCTGAGGAAAGTCGGGAAGGTTTTAGGACAATGCTTCACAACCATGCATGTAACCTAAAATTGCCTAAAATGCATTAAAGGTTAAGGCCGATTCTCCAGAGCAAAAATTACATAAACCTCTTGTTATCTGCAGACCTAAGGGAGAATCACGGGCAAAAAACAAAACAAACAATTTGCTCCTCATTCTCCCTCTGGTTAACTTTGAACAAATGGCCCCTTCCCTAAGGCTTTTCAAGGTTAAACCCAAACTGCAGCCATCCCAATACTGCCTAAGGATGACTGTTGGCTGTGCACAGTCCAGTGAACATGTCCGACCTGTCTGTCAGGTGTTTGTGCGAAAACATCAATGCAGACAAACAGACATGTCCCTCAGGGCATTTGACTAAGCCAAGTCAATCTGACTCAGCCCCATAGCCCCATAAAGGGCTATTTTGGACAAATGTCAGTAGGCGGTTTCCATGTATTGGTCAAATGTTTGAGAGTTTTCTCTGTCAAACAGAAGAAGATTGTTGTTCAGGATGACACCGCTGACCTCTATTCTACCTGTAGTTGGGGAATGCAGCTCGGTATGATTTGCGGATTGGATGTATGCTGTGCGTTTTCCCTCAACCTACAGAATGTCACTCATCTCAGCGGCCACCATTTGATGTGGTTCTGTGTAAAAATAACTTCCTCGCATACTTGTTTTCCTGCTGCTTGACTCCTTCTCAGACTTTTTTTCTCTTTGTTGCTTTTACTCGCTATCCTTTTTTTTTTTTTTTTTTACATATTCTCCCTCCCTTCTTTCCCTTCTCTCTGTCCCCCCTCTCCAATGCATTTATCTTAGTCTGACCCTGGTTTGAAGAGTACATGTTGTTCCTGTCAATAAAAACGCGATATG